GCTTGTGTTGGGACTTGCAGTAGAGTGGACAGAACTAGTAATTTGGCCTGCTCTGGCCTGCGGCTACTTTGGCCTCCACTTCCTCCAGCTGGTCTAGCCTGATTGACCAGAGGTCCACAGAAGTGCTTGGGGCCAGAGCTCCAGCTAAGTAATGGCGATGATTTGCTTTGCTTGGTCTCCTGACCTTGCTTCGTTGTGGAACCCTAACAGGGAGAGTGAAGTGAAATATTACTAAATCTCAGGCAAAATAACAACACATGACTTTAATCTCATAACTGTCCCCAACATTCTGTATATGACTGCCAGATTCCATATTTTTCTCTCCGGGACACAGTTAGATAAACACTGCCAAATCCTTGGTTTTAGATTCCCTAACTAAGCTCCATGTAAACCAACTACTTTCTGCGAAAACACTTCATCTTCAGACAAAATGACAACATTCCAGTGTTCTTTTACATCAGCCCGATTCTGATTAAACTTTGATGAGACTGCATTTCAATGGCAATCTTGCTTTCATTAGACTTCATGATTTCTCCAGTTTTTTTAGCCCCAAACTTGAAGACCTTCTCTTTCTGTGGTATTTATCTCTAAATAGCTAATTATCCATTTATTAGGTATTGGTCCTATATTTTCAATCACAGAGTTTAATCTTATTTCCAAGTTTGGGGAACCTAAATCTAGCCTATTTATGTCTGACTTCGTTAAATTGATTTGCCAATGATCACTCTTCTAGAGACACATGAATGCATCTAAATGGAAAATTTATTAACAAACTTATTCTTGAACAGACTGGTTGTGCTGAATGATTACATATGGCAGGAGTCTAGGGAAAATTTTTATCTATCTCCATTCCAGGAACATCTACGGCAAATTCCATAATAGCCTCTCATTCTTGTATTATCTGAGCTATTTGAATTATCTCAATAAAGCTATTTCCTCTTTCTTGACTCAGGAAATACAGAGTCATGACTGAACAGGGAAGGAAGAGGTTTAGAAAGAATAAGATGGACTTGAAAGTTTTCAAAATCACTTGATAACCCATTATTATCCAAGGACTACCCACATATATAATATACTTTCCATAGAAAGTAAAATTGAAAAAGTCCTTTGAGGTTCAATACACTTGAATACATCATAATACTGAATTTTAGTTGTTATGAGCAGACAAAATAAAACTCATTTTAAATGTATTGAACCAAAAAAGCAGAGAAATTATTCCCTGAACCAGGAGGCTTCCTATTTAAGCCTACTTTGCTTTCTAACTGAAAGGCAACATCTACTATGAGGTGCATGGACATGGGCATAATTCTAAACTTCTGATAGGACGAGCCAATGGTTCATGGTTCAGGAAAGAATGTTTAGTCTGGAAATGCTGTAATTTAGAGGAACTTAAAGGGGAGGAATCTCAACTGAAAATCTCTAAAGTGCTGCTTCAGTGTGGCTTGTGCTGTTCTCAGGTTTATTTACCAATATGCATCAACCGCCCTTTGGACTGAGAATTTATGGTGATAAATGTTTTCTCCTCCTCCTCTACATTCTTCTTTTTTTCCTCTTCCATTCCTCCTCCTTCTCTTTCTTTTTTTCTTCTTTCTCTTTTCTCCTCCTCTTCCTCCTTCTCTTGCTCTTCTTCTTTTTCTCCTTCTTCACCTCTTTTTGCTGCTTGGGATGTAGTTAGTTTGACCTAGATAAGATTATAGGATTGTTATTGTCATAATATTTTTTGGTATTAAGGATAGGACATATATGGATCTAAGTAATGTCTTCAATGCCAAGATAGTCGAAGTCTTAAAATCCATCTAAACGTCTTTGCAGTGCTATTAGTTACATTTTACGTGATAAGAGTTATGGTGATAGGAACATGTGTTTACTGGGAGGAAATTATACAAGGTGTTAAGTACAGGGAGGTTTAAGTTATAAGAAGCATCATAAAAGCGTATACTTGTACTGGGCTTGAGATGTCATTTTTCCTACTCCCATTATTCTAATGTCCTCTTCAAGGTTATTAAAATGTCCTAAGATCATTCAAGACAGAGCAGTCTACATTTCACTTTATTATCCGTTTTGCTAAGACGTACTTATGTAATAAGATAGGAGAGATAAACCACAATCCCACAAGAAAGATATCATTTCTGGCATCAGGAGTGAAAGAAAACCAAGAGACCCTAAATTTCTTTAATACATTCACCAATACCCACATGCCTATCCCCAAAACTACACTTTTACTTAAACAGGTTAGTATATATGGTTAACTGGGGACTTTTCAACAGTTAAGCTGGTGCCTCCTGGTTGGGAAACTAAGACCAGTGATTTCCTAACAGCTGTTTTCCCAGGCAGACTGAGAAACTAATCAATTAGGGCTGGGAGGTTATTAAGTAACATATTTTAGGCTTGAAAAACCATTTCTCATAATAACCGATAATGTCTTGATTTCTTATTTTTTTCATAATTTTCTTTATTAAAACCATAGAGATCAAGTAAAAATTGTAATAATACTAGTCATGTTTAAGGAACAAGAGTACCTATTTTGCCATCAGTTATCTTGATGAAGGAAAAGAACACTTAGGTATGTGATTTAAACAATTGTATGTTAAAATGAATATGCAATATGCCATTGGAGATGATATAACTGCAACCACAGCACAATACACACATGTACTCCGATTACTTAAATCCTGTGGATGTTATGTTCACTGCACATTATTTCTAAATTATAGGATAGCTGTGGCCCACTCCTTGAATGCTGGGGCTACATTACTTTTTCAACTTTAAATATAAAATAAGTATTAAAAATATGTGTTAATTTTTGCTCTAATGAAAACAATATAAATTTTAAAATTAGGATATCATAAAGATAAGCATCACTTTCCCTGAATAAACTATATGAAAAATCATAGGCCCAATATTTTTTCTACATGTATATTTGAGCTAATAATTCTCGTTTAAAACAAATAAAATACATTCTATTCCTTTATTATCCCTGCATCATTCCTAAAAGAGGTGATTGTTGATATCAGAATATCTATAAATGAAATTTGTCTCTTAAAGAGATGTTCACCTAAAAACCCTTCAAGAGATGTTCACCTACAAACCCTTCAAGTATCATCAATTATTCACAAGTCTTTGGCTGAGGGGACTCATTCTGTCATTCAATTTAATTATTTTGACTCAACAAGAATGACAAGGATGGCATTCTGCATTTGAGGTGCTTTCTGTGGATGGAGGAAGACAAGATCGACATTAAGTGGAGAAATGCAAAAGCAACCTGTGTACTGCAGGTGGCAATATAGGCACAGTGACTTGCAACAAACAAACAAATAAAAAAGTGAAGGCTTTTATTTGTTTGTTTGAGACACGGTCTCACTCTGTTGCCCAGGCTGGAGTGTAGTGGTGCGATCTTAGCTCACTGCAGTCTCCACCTCCTGGGGTCAGACGATTCTCCCAGCTCAGCCTCCTGAATATCTGGGACTGTAGAGAACGTGGAGTTAGTAAAGGAAACCCAAAAAGAGGTGAGTGTTCCGTTTTCATATGATGTCAAATTTAACTCAGTAGGAAATAATGAGCAGTTAATTGAAAAATATCCCAAAGACCTAAATTTCTTGGCCTTCATTAAATATTTAAATATTTTTCAAATGTGTCCCAATTTTAGGAATCTCGTTGGGGCCAGAAAGGTCGGGCCTCCTTGACTCTGTGTGGCCGGTGAGAGAAAGAGAGTGATGGCTCTATCATAGGGATTGGCAGAGTTGAAGGCAGGTGTGTGTCGAGCACACCCTAAGACTTGTCTGGATCCTGGCAATTTGGAAGTGGCAAAGCTGCCTTGGGAGAGGTGGAAATAAATTGTTCCAATGCAGCATAAAGGCTCTTATATATGAGGCAGGATATCCAGAAAGTGGTACCCAGCCCTGGCTCAGTCCACCATCAGTGGTACCACCTCTGCAGACGAGTGAGTCACTGGGACGCTGCACTTCATTAATAGGTACAAGTCCATACCTTGTTTAATAACCTTCTTCACTGTGACTCTGGTGGCTACTAGGAAGTTTTTACCTAAGACTGCAGAGTAAGCACGGAGAGGTGATCCAGTCATTACTTCTCAAGCCCTTTGGGCATTTAGAGAAAGATGAAACTGCGCCAAGGAGTGAGGCTGGAAAGTCAGGAGCCTGATGAAAAAGGGTCTGTCCACCATGCTATGGAGTCTCCACTTTAATTGTAAGTAGTAAAGAACCACAGAGGCAGGGCACCATCAGATCCAGATAGCGGTCATTACCAGATGCCAAATCCTTCTGGACTTTTTACTCCTTTCTGTGAAGCGGCTTAACAACTCAAACAGGCCAACTGAAAAACAAAAGGGTACCCACTTTGCATGGGCTTGCATAAAATAAAAGGAGTTTCCTTCTCTCTCTGAGTAGGGTTGTGGCCTGCAATGGGCAAAGACAAAGTCCCAGGGCTAAGCGTGGGGTGTGCAGCTTGGAGAGGAGAGGAGAGGATCATTCTGCGGTTGGAGAGACAGGAAGTGGGGCAAACACAGTCACAAAGGCGTTAGTTACCAGGCTAGGCCACCTGGAATGCAGCTGTGAAACTCTTCCCTGTCTGTGCAGACCAGATACCTGCATGGCTGGGCTTCACAATCCTCTGGGACTCCAGGAACCTGCATGGGTACTGGAGGGAGCAGATGTTTAGTACTGACTTGTGATTGGCTGACCGAGTGAATGAGCGAATGAATGAACACAGGGTGGCTTCTAGAAAAAAAAAGACCAGGGCAAGGATAGAGGGTGTGAAGATCCTGCAATGGCCAACAATGTTAAAAGCCCAGAGCTGGGTAGTGGCTGAGGGGGTGGAGAAGAAACAGGAGCTTTAAGAGCTATTTTGATGGGACTCGAGATACTGACCGCCAGTGGGGAATGGGTCAAGGATGACTTGGAAGCTTCCAGCCTTGGCAACTGGAAACTGGAGTTTAGGGAAGGAAAGGGGGAGAGCAGGCTTTTGAGAGAGAATATCAAGTTTGGTTTTGCCACATGAAGCACTTTATTTATTTATTAGAGCATGGTTTTAACTCCCTTATAACCAAGATTATCCATATTTATTACAAAAGCAACAATATCAAAAAATGCCTTAAAATGCAATTAAATTTGTTTAATGTAGATAAACTGTGAGTAGTAAGATTGTTTTCGTTGTAATATAGGTATCACACATTTCTCCTGGTAACTATAAAAGATAAATGGGGAGATAAAACATAACAGTAGAAGAATCTAGAATAGTAAATTTTATTACTGAAAGTCTCTCCCTAGCGATCAACAAACTCAACCTCATTTAACACATAAGGAAACTAGGGACCAGAGAGGCTGACATTCTTTACAAATACTTAGGGCACTGACCATGTGCCAGGCACTTGCTTGGCGCTAGGGATATAAAAGTAAACAGTACAAGGTACTCATACCAAGGAGCTCACAGCCAAGATAATGGATGACAGCGTCCTGGAAGCAGAAACGATCACACAGCTTAATAATTATTGTGAGAAATGCATGCTCAAGATGCAAGGTGCAACTCATCCAGGCTTGGGAGCCACTCTTGTGAATGAGCTGACCTGGAAGGAGATGCCGAAGTCAGATACACACAGAGGTTGTGAAGCAGTGTCCTAGAAAGGCCAAGTGAGGGCAAGCCCAGTGCATTTAATGACTGAAGGAGTGAGAGCACAAGGGAATTCTAGTCCTGGGTTTAGGAGACAATAGTCTCCTGATGCCCAGTTCAGTGCTGTTTTAGAATACTGCCTGTGTGCTGACAAGTCTGTGAAGATTCAGCACATACATCAATACTCTTGCATAGAAAAAAAAGAGGCATACATGGCTCGTGTTTTACCAGTGTAGACATTAGGATTCTCTAAACCATCTTGCTTAAAATGTTTCTTTAGAGGAATAATTACTTCCTATTTCATCCTGTCATTTCCTTCTAAACGTTTATATCAATTAGGTCATGCCATAAAATTCTTAAGTGTGGAAGGGATTTAAGGTATCATTTTCTTGGCAGCCAAGGGGGTGCAGGGGCAGGGTGGGGTGGGGGTCAGTGGGAGCAGTGCCCACCCTGGTGCAGCAACAATGGGGCATTCTCTGCAGGGAATTTAAGAATTAATAATAAAATTGACCAAAATAACTCTGCTTTTTATTATCACCACCAAATCTGAACAATGTCAATAATAAATACTCTCTGCCAAGGCAAACTGGTCTTACTGACCCCTCCACGTGTATACACCTGTACACGCAGAAAATCAGACCCAAACAGGCATTAGAAATACCTAGTGTCCATATTAGCCATCTGGTCAGCTCATTCAGCCAAACCTTTGCCATTCAATTTTCTTCTGTAAACGTAGCTTAAGTAGTCAAAATCAGACATATCAAAAACCTCACATCAATGTGCATCTTCCTAAAATTACATTTCTCTCCAGTTAGGATTCCCATCTTGACTAGTCTCATATCCATCTCCAGCTGGAGCCACAGGCGGCTGACATCCGACGCTGCCCCTTCCCTATGCACAGGCTCACCAGGAGCAGTCTTCACTCATCTTCTCCAGTTGGGCCATCTGGCATGTGCTTGGAGGGGTAAACACTGAGGGGTCTTTAATACCCAGCTGGATGTCAAAAAACCGCGTAGACAATATCACACTGTAGTTTTTGGTAAAGGTTTCCTGGACAGGGTAGCAATCCTTGACTGTATAGATGCCAATCCAGGTTTCATCTATAAGAGGAAAATAGTTGACTTTTAAATAAAGAAACAGGCAAAAAGTTCGTATTTTTCTTAGAGCGGTAAATGTACATGACATAAACTTTACTATTTTACCATTTCTAAGTGTTTGGTGGCCTTGAGCACATTCACATTTGTTGAACAACCATCAGCACCATCCATCTCCAGAATTTTTTTCATCTTCCCAAACTGAAACTCTGTCTCCATTAAACACTAACTTCCCGTGCCTCCTCTCCCAGCTCCTGGAAACCACCATTCGATTTTCTGTCTGTATGAATTTGAAGACTCCATATAACTTACATAAGTGGAATCACACAGCATTTATTGTTTTCTGCCTGAATTGTTTCTCTTAACATAATGTCCTCAAGGTTTAGTCAGGTTGTAGCATGTTCTGGTGTTTCCTTCCTTTTTAAGGCTGCATAATATTCCATTGTTTGAATATACCACATTTTGTTTATCCATTTAACTGCTGATGAACATTTGGGTTTCCACCTTTCAGTGATTGTGAATAATGCTGCTGTAAACATGGGTGTACAGATGTCTGTTTGAGTCCCTGCATTCAATTCTTTGGGGCATATATACAGAAGTGGAGTTGCTGGGTCATATGGCAGTTTTATCTTTAATTTTTTGAGAAACCACCGTACTGTGTTCCACAGCATGCATGCCTGTGTGGTTAAAACCGTCTTGGCATAGGCATATTTCAGCAGCAGGACAGAGAATGGTTTCACACAGAAGCAGGCTGGTTTGCCCACTCAGCATGATGGGAGTAGATTTGACCTCTGCCACTTTAGGAAGTGGGGGAAAGAAAAGGAGGCACTTGATTCAAATGTGTGCCTTAGACAAATGCCTTCCATGTCACAGGCCTCGGGGTGACCATAAAATGTCAAAATCAAGGCTAAGTCCACAGGAGCCAAAGTGGCAGAGAGGTGCAGGTGGCACTAGAAGGCTGAGGTGTTTCAAATATGACGCTTAGATCCCATTGCCACCTAATAAACAAAGTAACGTGCAGACCTAACTGGGGGCTTTAAAAAAGTTTTGATTGAGCAGATATTTCCCTAAAAACTACCTTCCTTAAAGGACTGAAACCTTTTCACCCATCATGCATCCTGAATACAATGCTTAGATCCTTTGAGCCCTTACAGGATCTAGCTGACTTTCTGTCTGACCACTCCTGGACTGTGATCTGCTCCTGGGGTCCCCCGATGGAGTACTGGTCTTCAAAGGTGGAGTTCTGAGGAATGTCAAGAGGATCCCAGGGCTCTGTCAGAGTTATCTTCGAGCACTGCTTGGTGGCTTGCTCAATCTGAAACATCACTCCATCCTTATACAGCAAAATATATTCAAATAATCTGAAACACAGATTGAAAGGAAATAGTTTAGGACTTCGTGTTGCAATCATCATATGTTTTAACAGCACAAAGACCCTGATAGATATTACTTTTAAAGTAGAAAGAAGTTACTTGCTAGGATATCGCTTAACATTTATGAACACATGAGACAAACTAAATATGAAATAATTAAAATTCAGAGGTCAGCCTGAACTTTGATGGCTCATGACTGTAATCCCAGCACTTTGGGAGGCTGAGGAGGGAGTATGATTTGAGCCCAGAAGTTTGAGACCAGCCTGGGCAACATAGCAAGACTCCAGTCTCTAAAAAAAATTTTTTTAAATTAGCCGGACATGGCGGTGCACAGTTGTAATCCCAGCTACTTGGGAGGCTGAGGTAAAATAATCTCTTGAGCCTGGGAGGTCAAAGCAGCAGTGAGCCACGATCAGTGAGCCACAATCAGTGAGCCACGATCAGTGAGCCATGATCATGCCAGTGCACTATGTACAACCTGGATGATATCCTGTCCCCCACCAAAAAAAAAAAAAAAAAAAAAAAAGAGGCCAAAAGTGTATATTCACTGGACAGATTTTGACTGAGGACCTAGTACATGCCAGACCCTGTGCTTAGGATGCAAACATGGGGAAGACGTGGCCCTGGCTGAACAGCTGGTTTGTGACTTTTTTTTTCTTTATTTTATTACTTTAAGTTCTGGCATACATGTTCAGAACATGCAGGTTTGTTATATAGCTATACATGTGCCATGGTGGTGGGCTGCATGCATCACTCTGTCATCTACATTAGATATTTCTCCTAATGCTATCCCTCCCCTAGCCTCCCACCTCTCCACAGTCCCTGGTGTGTGATGTTCCCCTCCCTGTGTCCATGTGTTCTCATTGTTTAGCCACAGGGACATAGGGGGACTTTTGCTTGGTGTAGTTTTTCTTGCAGCACTCAGTCAAGGAATTATGGGGGTATACTGAATATAGGACAAGAATGCACCGAGGACTGGACAGACCAAGTGCCTGTGTTTCACTGCCTTCACTGCTGAGCAGTTATGAGTAAGGGGCTTTGATGCACATAGCTGATCCAGGAAGGGTGCAGCCCGTATACCCTGCAGGGGTGGAGATGAGCCAGGACAAAAGCTGAGGCGACCCCAGAGCAAATGGCGCCCTCAGCCGAGTTTGTCTCCATGCTCTCGGCCTCCTCTCATGACCATCTGCTCACCCTTCCTGGGGAGTGACAGGGAGATGTTCCAAGGCTGAGCCCAGGGATCACCAGCCATGCAGTGTGGTCATCAGTTCCATATCTTCCTTAAAGCTGAGACATCTTGGTGTTGGGGGAAGCCTGCTATGTTTCTACACATTTCACTGTCAATCCAAAACTCAGGCCACAGCTGCTAGTTAAGCAAAGTGGGTCTTGCAGCTCTGACCTCAAAAAGTGATATCTGCAACATTTGAGGGCTGAAGAGCCTAGAGAGGTGGCTTTTCATCAGCGAATAAAAATAGCCAACAAATTATCTGTGGTTTGTGAGACCCAATGCACTAGAGGAGCCTTCAGGAAGGACGTGTGCTCTCCATCCCAAGTCCAAGCTTAAAAAGTATTTCTTTCAGAAAAAAATGTCATAAGTGGTTACTGTCTTTATAGTCAAAACACAGTTGTGCATCACTTCATGACAGGGTTGTGTTCTGAGAAATGCATCATTAGGCCGTTTCATCATTGCACGAACATCATAGAGTGCACTTACGTAAACCAGGAGGGTACAGCGTACTACACACCAGGGCTACATGGTATGGCCTCCTGCCCCTGAGGTTAAAAACCTGTACCACATGTGACTGCGCTAAATACTGGAGGCAACTGTAAGACAATGGTAAACTACTGTCTATCTAAACACAGAAAAGGTGCCGTAAAAATACGGGATAAAAGATAAAAAATGGTACGCATTATAGGGTACTTGCAAAGGAGTTTGCAGGACTGGAAGTTGCTCCAGATAGATGAGTGAGTGGCAAAAGAATGTGAAGGCCCAGGACATCACTATACACTACTGTAGATTTCATAAACACTGTACACTTAGGCTGCACTAGATTCATTAAAAATATTTTCCTTTCTTCAATAATACATTGATTTTAGCTTCCTGTAACTTTTTGACTTTATATACATTTCGATTTTTTTAACTATTTGACTCTTCCGTAGTAACACAGATTAAAACACACATTGCACAGCAATACAAAAGATTTTCTTGCTTTACGTCCTTATCCGATAAGCTTTTTTTCTATTTTAGAATTTTTTATTTTTAAAAAACGTTTGTGTCAGAAACTAAGACACAAGCACAGGTAAGCTAGGCCTACACAGGGTTAGGATCATCAGTGTCACCCTCTCTCACTTCCACGTCTTGTCCCATTGGAAGGCCTTCAGGGCCAGTAACATGCATGAAGCTGTCATCTCCTATGATAATAATATTTTCTTCCGGATACCTCCTGAAGGATCTCCCTGAGGCAGTTTCACAGTTACTTTTATATAAGTGGGAGCACACTCTAAAATAACGATAAAATTACGGTATTTACATACACGTGGCCAACAAACATGAAAGAAAGCTTAACATCACTGATCATTAGCGAAATGCACATCAAAATCACAGATACCATCCCATCCCAGTCAGAATGGCTATTACTAAAAGGTCAAAAAACAACAGATGCTGGCGAGATTGTGAAGAAAAACGAACACTTTTACACTGTTGATGGGAGTGTAAATCAGTTCAACCATTGTAGAAGACAGTGTAGCAATTCCTCAAAGACCTAGAACCAGAAATACCGTTGACCCAGCAATCCCATTACTGTGTATATATATCCCAAGGAATATAAATCATTCTATTCTAAATAAACATTCATGCCTAAGTTCATTGCAGCTCTATTCACAATAGCAAAGACATGGAATCAACCTAAATGTCTACCAATGATAGACTGAAAATGTGGACAAAGAAAACGTGGTACATCTACACCATGAAATGCTATGCAGCCATAAAAAGGAACAAGATCACGTCCTTTGCAGGGACATGGTTAGAGCTGGAAGCCACTATTATCAGCAAACTAATCCAGAAACAGAAAAGCAAATACCGCATGTTCTTTCTTATAAGTGGGAGCTGAATGATAAGAACAAATGGACATACAGGGGGAACAACACACTGGGGCCTGTCGGTGGAGCTTGCGGGGAGGGAGGGCATCAGGAAGAATAGCTAATGGATGCTGGGCTTAATACCTAGGTGCCGGTATGATGTGTGCAGCGAAACACTATGGCACACGTTCACCTGTGTAACAAATTTGCACATCCTGCACATGTACCTCTGACTTAAAATGTGAAGAAAAAAAAGGATAATATAGTAATTACTTATATGCTAGAATTGTATACAACTGGCAGCACAGCAGGTTTGTTTACCTTACCATCACTCCAAACATGTGAGTAATGCGTTGTGCTACCACATACTATGGCTATGAGGTCACTAGGCAATAGAAAGTTTTCAGCTCCATTGTAATCTCATGGGACTGCCATTGTATATGTGATCCTTCATTGACTGAAACGTCATGATGAAGCATATCATTGTATTATTAACAGTCGTATCCTTCAGGTTTCTATAAGATAGTATGGAAATATAAACATGACCTCATTTTACACATTTATATGTATTTGCTTATTTCAGAAAAGATTTGAAATGGCTTACGAGGGTTAAAAAAGAACCCAGATATATACCTTTAGAAGTGGGAATGAATATAGAAAGAAATGTAAGTGTGCATTTTATGAGATATTGCTCAAAAATAGAGCTCATTTTTTATAATATGCATGCAGGGTCAACGTAGAACTGTTAGCCCTTTGAAAAAGTTTGGGGTTGGATTGTCACTGTTTTCTCTTAACCAGCTAAATCACTGGCACAACAAAGCCTAAGCGCTGACTGAAGAAACACAGGAACATTAACCCAACTCTTAGAGCATTGTTCATTTGTAAATATGGGAATTGTGGTCCATACACAAATCCTGTTCTGTGATACTTTTAATGACAAGTGTCTTCATTGTCATGAAGTTGTCTCCATTGTTCTCCTCACCACTAGCAACGTCTTGTGCCCACCCCAGTGCTAAGCATCTGGCCTACAAAGGCAATCCTAGCTTGTACTGATATCCCAGTTGCATGCTTCTCAGACTGCCATGATTGTTCCCTGGAGAATATGCAGCCATGTGCGGGAGAGGGGGTTTCCTTCTGGAGACTATTGCCCTCATCCCCCAAATCCACAGGATCACAGAAGTGTCATTAATATAGTTTGGCTGTGTCCCCACCCAAATCTCATCTTAAATTGTAGCTCCCATAATTCCCATGTGTCATGGGAGGGACCTGGTGGGAGGTAATTGAATCATGGGGGCAGGTCTTTCCCATGCTTTGCTCCTGGTAGTAAAGAAGTCTCATAAGATCTGATGGTTTTATAAATGGGGATTCCCCTGCATGACCTCTCTCTTGCCTGCCACAATGTAAGAAGTCCCTTTGCTCTTCATCTTCTGCCATGATTGTGAGGCCTCCTCAGCCATGCTGAACTGTGAGTCCATTAAACCTCTTTCCTCTATAAATTAGTCTCAGGTATGTCTTTATTAGCATCATAAGAACAGACTAATATGGTCATCCTAGCCTCATATTTGTCATACATGCCATTCTAGCCTCATATTTGCTTCCCTCACCAGAGCTTACTAGACCAGAGATGAGACAATGAGATTATTTTCTCTGGACCTGAGCCATTGCAACCAAGGTCTAATAATCAGCCTCTTACGTGGGCTGGACATAATATATGTAGATTTAGAAGCTGAAGGAGGCTATCGTCCAACATGCAAACGGGATTAAAGAATGAAACAGAGGCCGGGCGCGGTGGCTCACACCTGTAATCCCAGCATTTTGGGAGGCCGAGGCGAGTGGATCACGAGGTCAAGAGATCGAGACCATCCTGGTCAACATGGTGAAACCCCGTCTCTACTAAAAATACAAAAAAT